TAGAATAGAATAGAATAGAATAGAATAGAATAGAATAGAATAGAATAGAATAGAATAGCCATATAACAATTCTTGACAATTACAATATACAATCATGCCCTTATAATATCAATCCCAAATAAAAACTTATGGGTTTGTATAAAATAACAGTAAATGCAAAGTATGTGTAAGTAGTGAGATGATAAGAAGACATGGAACAGGAATTAAAATACTTATATCCAATCAGGATAAAAAGTTTATTTTAGTGATACAATATTTTTGTTCAATTATTTGATTCATCTATTTAAATAATAGTTTCCTTGCAGTTTGACTATGTTAGAGAGACAAGACACTCCCTTTTTATTAAGAGTATACTTAATAATTTCAGATGTAATTGGATTGCAATACGATATAATCAATCAGATTTATTCTGAGTTGTAGTTAATATTAATATTACATTTTGTGGTCTGAATGAACTTCGTGCTGTTATTTGATTGTAGAGTAGCATGTTAAGTGTGAGTGAAGAGGATTCAGTAGAAATAATTTAGGGTTTGTGAATGAAATGACCTAATTAGGCAGAAGATTAAATGATTTAATCTTCCACTCTGGGATTCTATCAATTTATCTTCAAAACATCCTAGGAATTGTTCCTTTGTAAAGAATAGGAATAGGAAATTATTCAACTAATTAGACTAGAAAACAAGAATAGCAAGACACTTAAAAAATTCAAACAACTAAAAATATAATGATGGCAACATGTTTCTTTGTAAAATACTTTTATCTGTGATACAAGAGTTTTGCCTCCATACAGAAGTGAAGTTTGGATTGAAATGTGTTTGTTGAATTATATAACCTGTATGCTAATTGGTGGGTATTTTTATGCAAGGCTATGAATGATGGTTTGGAGATGGCATTGTTTCATATTTAAAAAAACTATGTATCTTAATATTTTCATGCTATTTAAATAATTTAATAAAAGCATTGTTAAGGAGTCAACAGTAATTTTGAATCAAGGCAAGAAGGAGTAAATAAACAGCATCGGTCTATGCTCTTATGTTAGATAGTTTTAAAAGAAAAGTTTACTGACAATAAATTAAGTGTTCTTCTAACAGCGTGTTTAACAATTATTTCAAATAATAGCTAATCATTTTAATGTTCAAAATGCTCTTAATTTAGCAATTGTATAAAATATATGAAACTAGATCCAATCTGAAATTATAATGGGATTAAATATAATTATACAATTAAGAACAAGATTAATTGAACCACAGTTAGCATTTTATTTTAGTTACATTTTCCTGCAAAGTTCCCATTGAATGTAATGGAGATTAGCATAGAGATCTATAAATATTGTTAAACTTGATTTGAGGGTCCTCCTCAAATACATGTTTATTTAGTTTTCAACTTAGAGTGCAATCAGTGGGCCAACCAACAAACCCCAAAAAGGATTAGATATAACTCTCAAAAATATACTGTAGTCTATTCATGGGGCTTCCATTAAGCTACATCAGGAAAAATGCTGCCTATGGTTCAGTTAATCTTTTCTGAGGCCAAGGAGATGTAGAAAAACATGTCTCTCAGGCCGTTCCATTGTTTTAAGGCAGGGGGTGTCAAACATTATCACGGTGGTGTCACATGACATATCGGGACTTTCCCCCCCCTTCACTAAACCAGGCATGAGCATGGCCAGCGCGTTATGCATCTGGCCCATGGGGCGGGAGTTTGACAATCCTCTTTTAAGGAGAATTAAAAATAGAGAAACAGATGGAATCAGGGAAACATGCATGATACCTACACTGTGTCTATATGTGTGTGTGGCAAGCAAGTAGGACAGGAAATTATAACTTTCAATACAAGCCCAGCTTCCCTACAAGGATGTCCACAGAATATGGTCCTCAAACTCAAACTGCCATAAAAATAGTTGATGCTTTGATCACACCATGTGGTTGCCACCTTGGCTGCAAACCTCCCTAATGACCCAGTTAAATATTGTTGGTGCTTGATACCGAGACTTTGGAATAGGTCAGGACTAGCTGATTAAACAACGCAGTGCAAACAATAATAACTGTTGTTCAGGATAATGATATTAAACCTGTACTGTTTAATTACTAGAACTATCATTTAAAGCCAAATATTGACTAGGGTATTGTATAATTAAAATGAACATTCGTTGATATTGATAAATTCATATTTTCATATACATTTTGTCCAAGCCCTATTCCTTATGCCAGAATTTTTATATTATCTTCCAATCTACTATGCAGCATAAGTTATTTGGGATAGCAAGATGGGATTTTCACAATCATTACTCTAAAATTTAACAGTTCAAAATAAAGAATTGATAGACTGTACTTTATGGAGACAGAAATTTCTTTTTAGCTTTTCTGACCAGTAGGTGTCATTATAAGCAAAGTAATGTTAAGATGGGATCTGAAACCATTAAAATGATTTTTAGAGGATAAAAGAACTACAAATTTAGAATAAGTAAAAACAAATGATTCAAATGTGGCAAATAACGAAATATGCCCATAACACAAATTGTGCCAGAATAAGAGGGAAACATTACTTTAAAACTAGAAGCTCTGTAAAAGACTAAACTGCCTCAGTTGTGGGTTGGGAATGAGAAGAAGCTGGAAGAATGAATCAATCGTTTTGCTAGCCCCTAATCAAGGAAGTGCCATTCTGCAGTAAGTCACAACAAAAACAATTGAGGCAAGATACAAACCAGCAGGAACATCTGCTGGGAAGGATGTCAGTGATATCTACCATAACATTGGAATCAGAGGTGGTATTCAGCAGGTTCTGACCAGTTCTGGAGAACCAGTAGCGGAAATTTTAAGTAGTTCAGAGAACTGATAGCGGACAAATAGCACCTCTGACTAGCCCTACCCCCTTCTATTCTCTGCCTACCGAGTCTCAGCTGATCGATTGGGTCTTCTTTCGTTGCCCTGCACAGAAGAACACAGCTAAAAAGCAGGTTAGTGGGGTGGGGAGAGAATGGGGATTTTACAGTATCCTTTCCCTGGAATGGGTTGGGAATGGAGATTTTGCAGATTCTGCCATGCACACCAAGCCACGCACACCAAGCTACGCCCACAGAACCGGTAGTAAAAAAAAAATTGATCTCACCACTGATTGAGATGTGTGCAACTAGATGCTTGAAACTTCACCACTTTTTATATCTGCCATTGACTTCTGTGGATAGTCCTATATGGCAAGTCTAGTTTTTGCTAATTCAAGGATGGGTCTAGCATTTAAAGTCAGTACTGGGAAAATTTTATTGTAAAGTTGGGTTTTATTGCACTGATTATTTAGCCTGAGCACTCATTAGATAGAAATCTGGAACTGAATTATTACATAATTGATTAAACCATCCAAAATCATCCATACATTAATCTCTTAGGATTTGGTTAAGTAATGATAAACATGATTTGGCTTTGGATAGCTGTGATCTAAGAAACATGATAACTACTGAAACCATTTTGAATAGGTTTGATCAATAATTTGTCCATTAATTTTATGGCTTGAAATTTTTAACAACTGAGTATATCAACAGTGAATATCAATGATGAGAATATGTCACAAAAAAGTCAATCTAAAACAGTGATTGAAAATAGCCAGTTTCACCGTTCATTATGAAGTTTGCTCAGGTTGGAAAAGCACCACTGTCAATTTGACTGCAGGCTGCAAGATGAAAGGATACTTTGGATGTATACTGGACTGAATCTTCTCCAAAATTTCCTGGAAATTTTCTCCCTGCAGGAAGGATGCTTCTATTTTCCTATATCATTCTCACACAACATTTCACTAGTATTTGATGCCTTTTGGTGGTATTTTTGAGCATTAGCATTTGAAGTTGTTGTGGAGGCTATAGCTTTTTCTTCTAAACTCCCATTCCTTTCCATTCTGGATAAGTGTCAAGGGACAGCTTTAAAGGGAAGTGAAAAAGCCCAGAGGAAAAAAAACTTGCGATTTAATTGAAGCCCAGGAATCCGGTCAGGCCCTAGACCAATGGAATATGATTATACAATTTAAAAAAGAACTTCGTTCATTAACCACTTCATAACTCAAGATGTGCAAAAACTGCCTATCAACATTTTTTTCTCCTTTGAAAGAAATATATTGAAGACATTTTATCACCCCATCAAATGAACTGGGTAGAGAGAAGACATTTTTGGCACAATGTTCATTTTAATGCTGTCTCTGAAAGTTTCAAATATGATGGGTTGAAAACTCACTCATTTGCAATGAAATATTAGAAAGACAGATTTGGATGTGCTGACAAGCTAAAGACAGCATGCAACCAAGTCCTCCCATTGCAATTTTAATTCCTACATTGCCAAATTCTTTACCTGCAACTTCTACTCTAATGGTCCCCCTAGAGCAGGGCTGTTAAACTCATGGCCGCAGCCCGGATGCATTACGTGCTGGCCAAGCCCATGCCTGGTTTAGCAAAGGAGAGAAAAGTCACAATATGTCACGTGATGCCGCTATGAAGACACGAATTTTACATGCTTCCCTAGAGTATTATTGTTCCCCTTCAAAAAGAATCAAGCAGGACTTATTGAACAAAAAATCAGTCCAGCACAAGCAGTTTCAATTCTTAGGGGACCTTGACACTCTCTGAACTTGGTTGTTTTCTTGCAGAAGTTTCATTACCTAAGCTAGGTAACATCATCAATCCTAATAAGGAGTGGTGTTTTGCTCTCATTTTATATTCTAGTGCAGGGGTGTCAAACGCAAGGCCCAGGGGCCACATCCGGCCTGCAGTGTGGTTGAATCTGGCCCATGGAGCTGGCCCAATGTGAAGATGAAAGATTGGCCCAGTCTACCCAGTGCGAAGAACTCAGGACAATGTATCTTCCCAATCTACCCAGTGCAAAGAGGAAAGATCAGGCCAACGTATCTTTGGCCTGGTCTACCTGGTGCAAAGAGAAAACATGCCAGCAGTTTGGGGAGTTGTGTCAAGCTGGCTACATTCACCTAGTTGACCACACCCACCCAGTCAGCCACACCTGCCCAGCCCCCTGAGGTCAACCACAGCCCTGATGTGGCCCTCAATGAAATTGAGTTTGACCATCCCCGTTCTAGTGGCTTCCCCTGTCAGTTGGTGGGATAGTCTTGGTGACTCTACAAGCATCAGTTTCCACAGCAGCTTTTTCAAGTCTTGTTTGCTTTAGATGAGGAAAAGCCAAAAGTGTCCTGTATAAATATTTTATTGCTTTTGAAATAATAGCAGAAACAGAAAAAAGCAAATGGAACAAAATACAAAAATACACACGTTATAAAAAATGCATAACAAGTGATTAAAAGATAATTGACCAAATTAGACATAGAGTATGTTGTCAGAACAATGAAAAGTTACACTTCTATATATAATTATATAATAAAAATATTTTAATGTTTTTTAAAATAATAACAAAAAGAAAAAAAAACACAGGAGATGCTGAGAATGGTTAAGCTGTCTTCTGTGTTTTACTTATGAATACAAGTAATTGCAATTCAAGGATATATGATGCCCCAGATATCACTGATTGGTCATCTGGGGACATTGATTGGTCATCTGGGGCTGATATGAAAATCTACATTTTTATAATGATTTGAAAGAAAGGGCAATTTTGGTGCTTCCTAAGCTTTGACATCCTAGACCAATATCTACTTGGCCTTAGACCAAAGTCAACTCTGAAACAAACCTGGAGGCAAACAGGCATTCCCACAGAGCAGAAGATTCAACAAAATAAAAATTCAGTAGCCCATTCTATCACTCTTTAACTACCCTCCTTCATTCCCAGGCACTATACAAATTCATTGTGTTCAGTTTTTCCACTGACCCATGTTCCTTAAGAAATATATAACAGGGGGTTGGACTAAAAGATCTTTAAAGTCCCTCCCAACCCTATTATTCTATGTTCTACAATGAGTTTATTTAACCTACTAGTCTCTCTTTTAATCCTGAGAACATCAGCATGGAGGTTAATGTCTTCTCTGGTTCCTTCCCAGTTGCACAAAAGCAGTTTGAAGATGATCAGTGATCATGTTCTAATTTACCAACCTTGTAAAGCGGAGAACAAGAAGA